TCTGTCATTTTACGTGGCCTACCACTTCGTGGCTGAGTTACTGTTGTTCCCAGTTGCTTACACTTTGTTATAATACTACTAACAGTTGACCGTGGAATATTTAGTAGCAAGGACATTTCATGGATGGGTTATTGCACAGGTGGCAACCTATCACGGATCCACGCTTGAATTCACTGAGCTCCTGAGAGTGACCCATTCTTTAACAGGGGAACTGCAGCAGAGGGCGGGAACAATGCTAGTTTACTATTGGCTATTGCAAATTGAAATAGCCAATAGTAATGTCCCAATGCTTTTCAATGGGAAAATTCTCTTTTTTTTTTTCTATTCTGACATGCTCGTGTCAGAATAAAGAAAAAAAGACACAGCACTGTTTCTCTCCTGGACGGCCAGGAGCGGGATGCTCCCAGAGCGCTCGGGAGAGGTTTTTTTTTCTTGTTTTTTTTACAGCAGCAGAGCCGCCAGACAATAGGAAACTATTGGGCGGAGCTAGCTGTCACTGCTAGCTCCGCACAATCGTTTTCTATTTACTTTTTTTTACTTCATTCACTCTTTTTCTGTTCTGCTCGGTCCCTCTGAGGGACCGAGCAGAGCAGCTGAGCCGAATGCCGCTCAGCGGTGCTGACACAGGAGGGTGGCTCCTTTTGTTCCACATGGTTGTGTTGTAAAGTAGCCACCACTCCAAGCTCACTCCCGTGATGGACTACATTTTCATGTTTAGTTTACTCATTTATAATGAGGTTGAAGTCCATCACTGGAGCGAGCTTGGAGGGGTGACTACTTTACAACACACAGGGACCATGGGGAAAAAAAGTAGCCACCCTCCAGAAGGAAGGACACTATCAGCATACATTCAGAGATGATTTGAGGATCTGCAGCTGAGTGATACATAAATAAGGTAAAGGATTGTTAACAGTTAGGGTACTTGGATGAATTTTAAAATTTAACTCTTGACCTTAGTTAAGGCAAGTTCTTCTTTATTTATGAGCTATAATGGAATGCAATTAATAAATTATTCCATACATTTTGCATGCCTTTGCCTTTGCATGCCAGTTTAGAAAGATCTGTTTGTATTGGTATGTTATATTAATGATTATGTATTTATTTTGTATTTAAATACTTATTTTATTTGAATTTTTAAATGGAGAACATAAACCTGATAATATTTTTAATATGGCTATCAACCGATGACTAATCACAGTCTGGCACCCTATGACCGGCCATCTCACTAAATAATGTGACAAAGTTAAAAATCTGCAAGAGCTTGAGCAAGAGTGAAGTTGTAACTGCAGCAAATATTCAGAAAATCTGCTGATCAAATTTAGAAATGCATTTACAAAACTACTAGTATAGCAATTTTGAAACTTGAGCAATCTGCCCTGACAGAAAAATTACTTTCAGAAACTTTTCAGCTAAAGAAATGAAATAAAAAAATGCAGGAAAAATTATAGGAATGTTTGTCTTTTAATACAGTATATGATTTTGACTAGTCCAGGAGATGTGTGGGTGAGTCAAATCTTCTGTAAAAAAAAAGTGATGTATATCTCACTAACAGATTTCATAGTAATTGTAGAGAATGTCCCAGAAACAATAACATGCCCTTTTAAGCTAAATTACTTTTATCTAGCGACAGAAAAAAAAAGATTTTTTATTTTTTTTGCAAAAAGGAAAGTTAGTAAATTGTTCTAAAAGTTCTCTTATAACTCTTCTTAATATTTATATTATGCATGACCTTTTAAAATAATGGGCATAATAATAATTATCAGTAGCAGTTCAACAGCCATGTGCAGTGTGCCATGGCCAAAATATGACTGTTAAATAGCCATAAAACCACACAGCACTGACATAATACTATTTGCTACTACTAGTAACTTTTTAATATCTCCCGGTAACCTCACAATATACTGTATAATACATTACCTACAAGAAGCATGTAATATACTCACCTCTCCTCATTCCGGCTCCAATGATCAGCCCTTCTAGCCTGTCAGTGGCTGCAGCATCATACAGCTCCTCCTCCAGAGCCCGCTTAAGCCGGGAAGTTCAATTGCTCAGCGTTCAAGCAATGTGTGATGACGCTGGGCAAGTGAACTCAGCTCTACTCTCCATCCTGAACCTCTGTTCCCTGACTTCACTCTCCATTGTGACATTTGTGCAGTCGCTCTACTCTCCATCCTGGCAAGGGTAAAGTCTGATCTGCACTCCATCCTGGTTGCAGTGCCATTACCCACTCCCCATCCTGGAAAAGTAAGCACTGCTCTGGTCTCAATCCTGAATGGAGCCACATTACTCCACTCTCCATCCTGGAAGTCAAAGTTAACCCTCTCCATGCTGGTCTGCATCCACAGTTGTTTCTCTAAGGAGACATAGGGGTCTATTCACAAAGCTGCCGAAGGATCTGGCCATAGCTTCGGCCGATCCTTCGGCTAGCTTTCCTCCCCAGGACCCCTTCGGTTCAGTAGAACCGAAGGGGTGCTGTACGGGCTATTCACAATAGCCCGTACAGCTCCCGATCATGGCCGAGCCGAACGCATATGCATCATCTCGGCTGAGCCGTGCTGAAAGCCGAAGCTGGCCGAGCGGCCGGCCTCGGCCTGCTTCTGACAGCTGGGCGGAGCCAGCCGTGATCTTACGGCTGGCTCCGGCCACTTGCAGTGAGATCAGCGTCCCTGGTTACCTGCTAACCAGGGACACTGATCTCCAAACAGCTAACTCTCCCTGGCGCCCCGGGAGTCTCCTGCTCCCGGCCGCCAAGGAGAGAAACAGTGCTGTGTCTTTTTTTCTTTATTCTGACACGGGCATGTCAGAATAGAAGAAAAAAAAAAAAAAGATTTTTCCCATTGAAAAGCTTTGGGACATTACTATTGGCTATTGCAAATTGAAATAGCCAATAGTAATGCCCCAATGCTTTTCAATACGAAAATTCTCTTTTAAGCCTGAAGTGAATAGCCGAACAGTGTTCGGCTCACTTCACTTCAGATCGGTCATTCACTCGGCTGCCCTCTGCAGCTTGGTGAATAGACCCCATAGTCTGCTTCTCAACTTTGTGTTACCATCATGCACTCCATCAACCAGATTTCTCATCTTACATTTGAACTCACCTTTGACTCAGGAAACACTCCTCGCAGCTTGTGCAACTGAGACCCTGCCTGCAAAACCGCAAGTACTGTTCTCATTGTTTCTACTTATAAGTTGTAATCCTCTTTATGTTTACGAAGTGAAGTAACTTATAGACTTTCTGTTTTTTGCCTGCCTGCCATCTTGGCTAGAGTCGATTTCTTTGATAAAGTGAAACGAATGCTGTTCATTAGTTATTTAATCTGCAGCTGTAACTGCTCTACTAAGGACTGTCTGTAAAGACGTTACAAAGCAAGATTTAAGGCTCATTTACATCACCATGCATGGACAAGGCAAACATTTTTCCTTATTCTCAAGGAGTTAAAGGATCACTATCATGAAAAATTTTGTTTTCTGATAACTGTATAGGGGCAATCTATAAGATTATCGAAAGGTGCTTGGGGAGTTATACCAAGTTTTCTTCTTTGAAAGTAGGGATGCACCATTAAAGATACTAGTATCGGTATTGGTGCCGATACCGGGCATCTTCATGAGTACTTGAAGTCATGAAAATGACCTGATACATAGCATCGATACTGTCGCTTTAAATTTTTTCATAGATTTGGCTGCCTGAGGTCCCGCACTTGCTGTGGACCTTAGTCAGCCTGCTGGAGCCCTGGACAGCCCCACACTCACCCATACAGACCTGGAGAGCCCAGCATCCAGCACTCGGCAGTACAGACCTGGGGAGCCCCACATGTAGCCCTGGTGAGATGCGAAGGCTTCCATGTAGAGCCCAGCATCCAGCAGTATAGCCTTGGAGAGACCCTCATGCAGCCCTGGTGAGATGCGATCACAGCCCTGGTGACACCCAAACGCAGCCCTGGTGAGGCCCAAACGCAGCCCTGGAGAGACCCATATACAGTCCTGGTGAGACCGGTGTATGTCACAGTGCTAATCAAATGCAATGGAGGATGGCAACCGGTTATAGATGACTACAAATCTTAGCAATCCATGATTGCTGGTTATTTCTGAATAATCAGAAATCCATGATTATTTAGCAATGGAGAACATTATCATAATCATGGATTGCTGAGATCTGTAGTCCTCTATAGCCGGATGACATTCTCCATTGCTGTATAATCATGGATTCATGGGATCTGTAGTCCTCTATTGCTGGTTGCCATTCTCTGTTGCTGAATAATCATGGGTTGAGTTATAGTTCTTCATAATTATAAAGACACTGCCCTAAAATCATTAGTCTGTATTGTGTAAGAAAAAAATTTCACATGTTCCTTTATGAAAAAGTACCGGCAGTTGGTAGAAAATTGAGAGAATTGTCCTGCATACATCGCTCCTCGAGGGTCCCATTCTGCATTGCTGCAATGCAGAATGGGACCTGCTATATAGAACTACAAATACCAGCTGTACTTTATACAGCAATGCCATCAATTGGGCTGCAAAAAATTATGATTTTATTTATTAACTTACCCTCACCTGCAGAAAACCACTCATGTGTGTGTGTCCATCTCATCGCGCCCGTGTACTCAGGTGGCTGTTTGCTGGGTCCTCACGGCCGGGGCCCAGGGCTGCCCCCTGCAGTGCCTGCAGGCTTTTTTTAAATTCTCGGCTCCTTCCACAGTTTTCAGCGGCCGACGGGCCCCCTCATCAGCAGGCACTGCAGGGGGCAGCCCTGGGCCCCGGCCGTGAGGACCCAGCAAACAGCTGCCTGAGTACACGGGCACGCTGAGATGGACACACACACAGGGGAGGTGCTAAGATGGACACACACATAGGGGGCCCGTCAGCCGCCAGACACCAATGTAATCAATGGACACTCCCGGCGCAGAGATGGGGGGGGCCGCCGCATACCGATCCACAATTAATCAATCAGTAACAATCAACATGCACTGTTTCTTAATGTTAATATACTTTTTTTTTTTAAGGAAAACCATACGAAAGAGATATAGTGTGCCAGCAATTTAAGCTAATGGGAAAAGAAAACTTCGCTGCTCTGTAAGTTGAAATAAAAAGTTGCATTCATTTCCACATGATTAATCCTATAAACAAGAAATGCTAAATATGAATATTTGATTAATGTTCCTGATAAAAAGAGATGCCTGTGAGCGACACATTTTGCCCCACAAATAAATTCCTTCTTGCTGAGCACATTTATCAATGTACATTGTCCTGGTTTAATTAAACATGTCAGTGGCTTTGTAATAACTGTATTAGATGACTACTTATGAAAGTAATTACACATTAACATTTTTGTAGTGAGAAAAATTGAATTAACATATTTCTGGAAAATGTGCAAAGCACTGAGTGATGTTTAAGTATTTTTCAGAAAATGCGGACGCTTACATTACAGTAGATTCAGTACATTTGCTCAGCTGATTTGTAGCTTTTTTTTTTTTTAAACTATGCAGCCAGTTTTAAAGTAAAATACTTTCCAATGCACTGGTTAGTAGCTGGTAGCTTAGCATATTACCAGTACATAGACTGCACTGTGTGTACTGTTCTTTTTTTCACTTACTATGATAAGCAAATTGTGCTAAGCATTATCAATGTTGCCCATATTTTTATACTAGATAAACATTTTTAAAGTAGGTATTTGCCAATTCACACTTGTGTTGTTAATTGTTAAAGTGAACCTGTACTTTGCTTGCACATTTACTCTGTGCTGGGTGCAGAAACAACAGCTGCTTTCCACAAGCCCTGGGGTTGTTGTTTCTTGTAGACATGTGCAATTCGTTTAGTTCCAAATTGACATTCACACTCTGCATTCGGATGCATCTGAATTTCTGAGTTACAGAAAAAATTAATCTAAACGAATCCGAATGTTTTTGATAACGAAATGTGGATGCATCTGAAATCTTTCCTGAATGTTATTTGGAATGGAACAAAGGAGAGAAGAGCTGTGTGTTATACTGTGACAGTTCTCCACCTCTTTGTTGACATTCAGGAGCGTCCCAAATGTCAACAAAGTAGCAGAGAAATGTTACAGAATATCAACAAAGTAGCAGATATCTGTGTGTCATTCTGTGACAGTTTTCTGCCTCTCCTAAACGTCAACAACCTAGCAGAGAACTTTGAGTGTCCGGTTCCCTCCAGCAGTTTATACCAAACCCTTTAGGTCTGGTAGGAATTAAAGGGGGGACCCCAACCCCCCCCCTGAAAAAAGATTTGGGTCCCCTCTAAAATCTCTTACCTGACCATTGATCCAAGCAGTAGCCTTGA